CGATTGTGCATCCCGGAGGATTTCGCGTTCCGCCGGGATTGAACCCGGGTGCCTATCCCGTCCCACCCCATATGGACTTCCCGGCCCATCAGTTCAACAATAATTCAGCCCCGCCGGCCGGCGTCCCCAACGGTCAGACCCCTCAGGGCGGTACAGTGCCTCAACATGTTCTCCCAGCTCCTAACGAGATGCTCCCTAACCCCTTCGCGGTAGCGGAGCGTATCTTTGGCCAAGCCGGCCTCAAACCAGAGCAAATTGCCAGTATTCTGAAGGCAGCTCAGCCAGTGTCTTATGGCGACTAATGACAAGTGAAGCTTCTGGACATTATTTTGTCGTGGTGATTCTATTTGAGCTTTCAAAACTTCACAGAGCAGATGGCGTAGCCATTACTCTCGATTTCACATTCGCGTCTATTGACTCGATTGCGTTTATGACATTGATGCCCATGACCACGTGCCTTATGATGATGATCAGAATGGCTTTGAGTTCGAGTGGGTGATGAGCTGTATGTAGTGAAAGAAGCCTACGACTCGTGAGCTCGTACCTTAAGATAGCTAGAATAATGTAGGCGGGCTAGTCCGATAACAAACCCTCAAGAGAAAGGAGTGAGCCAAGTGCATGGCTCGTGAGTGGGGGAAGTGATACACTCGGTGTTGATATCCGACATGAAAAAACTGAAGAAAATAAAGTGGGAAGATATCCTTAGACTGTTCTAATCGTGCGAGTTGACCAATGATGGCCATTCGCGTTGTGCTCAGGTCGTCGGTAGCAAGTATGTGCGCTTATTCAGCCCGTCACAGGAGAAGTGTCTTTACCCTCTCCAGCGAGGTATCCTCACTAACAATTCCACTCTGCCGACTGACATCCTCACTGAACCTATCGACACCGAGAGATATCCCTTATATAAGGAGGCGACATACTCGGAAGCCATTCTGAATGCCGGCGATGCGCTGTTTTTACCGAGTAACTGGTGGCATTTTATTAAAAGCTACGAAGTAACGGCCAGTATTGCACATTTCTTGAAGAAACAGCGTGACAGCGTAACAGTTACCAAAAGAAATTTTCTTCTGTTAACTGTTACGCTTCCGCTTCATGACTGCTTTCTGTCTCCCATAATGGGAGTCCCATTCAATTGATTCGTTTGGTATATGATCCCACTCGAGAAGAAGATCTTATTCCCGTGAAGTGCGAAAAAGTGCTTGTGACATCGGGCGAGTATTGAGGGGCGGTCCACATTGATCCTCACGCGATCCAGCGGAGTACCAACCAAGTTGGTTGGCTATACGGGTTGTCACGGTCGAGACAGGATTCTGAGAAAAACATTGAGCACCAGTGTGAAGAGACAGAATGAAAGAATACTTGCCATCGTCAAAGGATTAAGCAATCTACAAGACTTCCGATATAATACCGAGTCGCTCAACTATTGCCAGATAGTAGAAAATATAGTCAAGCATCCCCAGCGCATAATCAGGGAGAGTCCGCTATCATGGTAATGAACTAATTGATCCACATAATTCAGGGTAATGCTGAGATAATATCAGCCAGGCCGCATCAGCATGCCAACTAACGTTTTAGCCTCAGTTGAAGTTCGACTATTCAACTCATCCTCGAAGCTTAGATTGGATAAACAGGTTGTTGCTATCGTATAGGTATCATACCTAAGGTGAGGGAAAAAGGATGAGTGGGTCGAAGCCCCTCGTGTCATGCCACGCGTAGAGTCACACCTCGAGATGGCGCATGGAGCGTCCACCCAGGTGATGCTCCACAGATTTGGAGATGAGTTCAACTGAAACTACAACACTTGGTCCGAACGCGTAAACGGCGACATGGCAAATCTCAACCATTCTCATGACAACAGTCGGATTGCATGTGTTTGAGTCACTCGAATCTGCAGTGGCGCGTGCGCAACATCATTCCTCATTCAGTTAGCGTGGTAACAATGGTGATGCGTACACGTTAACGAGCTAGCGTGTCGGCTCCAAGCCTTGGAGTCCAAGGCATCCTCGAACCGAAGTGAAGATGCGGTTACCTCAGCAATTCTGGCCGATGACGCTTGGGAGCTGCCCTTCAGACGGTGAACCTCAGAGCAGCCGCGATGGAGGATATTACGCGACAAGCATTACCAGAACCATGACAGTTCAACTGTCACCTGATGCATCGTAGCACACCGTGGCCGGAAAGGCCTTTCCCGGCTTGTACGGTACAAGCTGTACCCTCACGACCTGATTGATTTTCAACACGATAATGCACGAGCGTTCAAAGTTGAGGTTAAGTGTACATCTGAGTCGTCTGACTGACGATCATCTAACGAGAATCCCCGCGCGTAGAGGACGACGACGACAGATGAGCAGTTGGTGCGAACATGGAAATTCCGTGTCCCCCAACAATTAGTAGTGTTCCAAGTACTAAAATTCTCTCTACTCTCATCAACAGCCCTCGATGGGAAAGAGCTATAACGCTATAAAGAAGACTGTGGAGATCTGAACATGTTCAGAGACTTGACGAGGCGCTCAGGACATAATGGAAACTCTTAAGTCGAGTAGTAGCCCTCCGACAGTAGACAATCTTTGCACTATGCTGTCTTCTTTTGCTGTCTATCCTCCTGGTAACCACGAGGCTTTGTTTCCGTGAGAATGGTCCGAGAGACTCTATCAAAGGTCTTAATTGAGACGAGCGTACTGTTGACTGCTCGTAGCTCAGCCATGGTAGCTATTTCCATTCTTTTTATTATATGGAGTACAATTCCTCCACTTCGGAATTGGCAATTCCGTGTCGATGTGCGGCTCGCGTTACGTGCTGTCCACGATGCTCGTGGTGTCGGGATGGAGGGCGAAAGCGCTCGCGTCATCACAAATGATTTTCTTGGATGATGCCTTCTTCGACAATAGCACTCAATGTGCGAGTATCGAGTTGAGCGACGTTTCTGACAAAGTGACTATCCGTAGTTATTTTATAGGATGGAGAATCAGCATGAATTATCTGTTATATACAATGCTTCCTCCTTGAGCTTGCGTGAGTCCATCATGGACTTCACTAGGCGAAACCTCTCTTGTAGTTGGTAACACAGAATGCCTCAGTACTTCTTAGTCTTCCTTCTCCTCGCCCTCACCGGTCTATCGGATGCCCAGCTATCCGGCAAGTTCTGTGGGTCTGCCTCTACCGATTTCGGCGATTTCGAAGTCGAAATCACCATTACAAGCCAAACGACGGCGGACGTTGCCGCTGCATTCGGTTATGATGGAGAATTGAAAAGGGGTACCGCGAAGGGTGTTACATTCGTTTACAACCCCTCTAATGGCGACATCAAGGTCACGGACATACAGAAGTTAGACGACCTGATTGGAGAGATATCAGCGCCCATCAGTGGATCTGATCTTGCTTACCTCAAGTATCTTGGAGACAGCATTCAGATCGTGAGTCTGGGCAACTTCGCACTACCCCGCTGTTGAGAGGCGTCGCGTGTAAATCGAAATGGTTATTTTCATCTTCTTGACTATCATTCATTTTGGTCTAGCAGTATATACCTTAATCAGTCGAATTGTTTCTCTGAAGTCCCAACAGTGTCTGGCCGTCTGCTCTCCTAGTGAACACTTCGGACTATAAATCTGAGACGCATTTCGGGTGATCGTTTTGACCTTAATCTTCACTACTCTTTCTTGTCATTGGAATAATCATGTGAAGTCGATTATCAGACAATTTGATCTATCACGAGTAGCTGACTCAGTTCAAATGGTATCTGGTTTATTGTCCAGTCTCAACGCATGGGTTCTTGAGTTCAAGTCACTAGACCAGAATTCAGTTTCAACTCGGCGACAGTGAGACTCTGACGCATCCTTGTGAATCACAACGATGAGCGCTCAGCATGAGGACTGAGCCATCACAACTTGTGATGGCTAAAAAACAACCCATGGCTACAGTTTCTGCATACCGTCAACATGCACAGAGGACTTGGATATAAGGCCGCTGACTTTCTCAACGCTGGGAAGGCCGTCAACTTTCTCAACTCACCCGGATACTCACAATTTGTGTTATGCCGCCCCAATGACGAAACTATAGATTATCAATCTATAGTTTCGTCATTGGCAGCATAACACAAATCTAAGATTGAGCTTCGTCCTGTCTCTAGGGACCTGTTTCTTTTGTCTTCGTATTTCACTCCTAAGGACTACTGTCCTGGATGGCTGATATTGGGTCTAGTAGTGATATGTCGACAGTCTTAAAGAGAGCTGACTGTAACAGACGCTCGATCTTAGAGGGCCGCTCGCCGAATGGCCCGAGTAGATGAAAGGCTGAGTAGCAATGGATAGAGGAGCTCTTAGATATGCATGCTCACGAATATTGGTGATTCTTAGACCACAAAAACGATAGCCCATTACTAGAAGGAAAAACCAATATCCCAAGCTGAAAATCCTCTTGATCATCTGAGACTTAACCAAGAAGACGAAACAATTAACGGAATCTATCGGATATGGTGTGGGATCCTATCGAAAAGGCGTGTGTGTGAGTTTGAAGTCCAACGCCGACAACACGGCCAGGTTAGACTCGCATCGATGCACATTAGCTCCCGAGGGATCATAGCCTTCTAAATTGGACCAATTTAATTGGTTATTTTCATCATGCCTATGAGATTTGTCCACAGGGCGAAATTACCACTGCCAATGTACTTCCTTAAAGGAAAGTGTCCTCTCAGAAGGATCCGCTTACACAATTACGGGGCCTGTGTATGACAACGGAACACAAGCACTCGCCACAGTGTGTTGACCACAAGCACCATCTCCGAGATTCGAAAAGTCCATACCCTAGCATAAGTCATCCCTCACCCGAGACTATCTTTCTCGATGGCAGAAACATATACTTCTAGTTGCGTTCCCCATATATTATATGGGTTATATAGCGTATAACGGCTTTTTCGGTCGAAATTTCTAAGGTCAGTTTCTCACAAAAGTTCGCTGTAGCTGTGCATCGATTCCACACCAATTGTTATTTGCCCAAGAGTTCCGCTTCTGTCTACATAATTCGGACGCAAACGTGAGCAATCTGGTCTTGTGCACTCGAGCAGGAGATGTTCACTGGTCTCTTCAACATGGCAATGAGAGCAATTCTCATCATGCGAACCCAAGCAGTAGCTGGGTCAATATCTATATCTTCTCAATAAGGTAGAATGACCGGAGAGAAACTGGAGGAATGCTCAAGTATTTCTATACGATACTACTCTACGGACGGATAGGGTCGTGAGTCACGACTCGTGACGACCCTACCGGGTCGTATCGGGTAGGGCCTACCCGATACGACCTAATCATTTGATGACTGACCCTCTGATGCAACATGGATATTGCACAATGTTTACGGACTATCAGTGCCCTCACCCCGATTCCGTCTATCCAAAACATGGATGGACACGATGGGAAGTGACTCTCTTCCACAAGATCCTCGGATTTGCTCACTCCCTGAACGAAGACGGCTTCATCTGATGGTTAGCTCACTGTCCCGGAGCAGTAAATCGGGCGGATGGCCCATCTCGCGGTCGACTACACCAACCACGATATGACTCCCCCTTCTACGATCGACAGCGCTCCTTCCGTCATGCAGTACTACAAGCAGTCCTTACGAATGGATGTTCTGATCACCGGGTGATCAGAACATTCATTTGTAAAGACTGCTCACGTGGTCAGCACCCCGACGTACATCGCAAGCCCATATGGTTGAAGTTACCACATGATTATATTCCATCATCACCATCCGAATCTACCGGTGAGCTCGTGCCCGATCTTGACAGTACCGAACATGAAGCTCACTCACTCACTCGATATCGATGATATGATGGTATGGTTGAATGGCCTGGAGCTGCTTGCGGCTTATGCCGAAGCGTCAATGCGGAAGAGATACTCCGTAAAGATCATCTAAGAGCTCGGCAACTCCGTCAATATGGTACAATGATCGAGGTCTCCGATGCGTGGCGCACGCAGTCCTTGGATGGCTTGTATTTAACTACCTATGATGTACTTAAAGTTCTGTCAGGACTGTTCTGACGAACAAGGCTCAGGATGATGACTCTGAGACTGCGGAAATAATCCACACATTCTGTAGGCCTACGGATTCGAATACTCTAATACCTCAGCGTAGTATGGGTCATGTGATACTCGTAATATAATCTCTCAGCGGTTCTTCTGGCGTTAGACTGGTGCTACTGTCAGAAGAGCCTTGCGAACGTGCGCTACGTGTATGCCATTGAGAGACCAACGACATTATCAGCCTACTGGTGGTTCAAAGAAGATCA